ATTCGGCGTCTAATTTGGTGTTGTCGCTGCGAGAGTAATCAGGGTGAGGGGTCATAGGGCCCGTGGGAAGCGGGAGATATTTTCCCACGAGGTTCTTGACAACATTTTCCGGTGACACTGTCCGTTTAGCTTGATTAAGTATCTTCACGATCGAATGACGCTAATTTCTGTGGGGGTTAGTTTCATTGAGCAGGTGTTTGAGTAAGTTCCACGTTTCGCCATTACAAACCTGACCATCAATCGAGTTACAAACTTCGTCCCACTGCTGTTTTGAAAGGATGCGGCAGTGATCTATCATGGTCTTGTTCAGCTGAGATATGCGTTTGCGTAACCTCCGACTAAGACGCTGGCCCTTCCACCGGGCCAATAGAGACTGTTTGGCCTCAAGTAGGTGGGCGAGGCGACTGTCCATCTTTTTGGTTGGAAGGTCTTTACTAATACTTTTGGTTGCCTTGTTTACGTCAGCTTTGAGCTGGGGCATCCACATCTCGAGGATCGGTGGGGTATCGGGAGGAGGTCGTTGTGTGCGGGTCTTACGAAGGAGGTCTCAGTCGACACACGTGTATGACTTGGTCTTCCTGTTCACTGTGGGGAAGTGTGCCGCCAATATGAAGTGGTCGCTACCGAGATCTACCGCGAGGTTGGACCAGCGGGCGTTGGCGATATTCTTGACGAAGCAGAGATCCGGCGTAGTGTCTCTTTCCGTAGACATACCGGCGCGAGTGGGGAAGGCCTTGTCCGTAATGAGAATAAGGACCATGTCATTGGCATTTTTCAAAGCTCTTTACCTTTGGGTGTGTCGTACGCGTAGCTTCAGGTGCTATGCGCGGCGTTAAAATTGCGCGCAATCACTAGCGAGTTAGGCCCCATGAGACGGACGGCTTTCTGGAACAAGCGTGTGAATCTTTTTTGTATGATGGCTGGGGCTACTGTATACATTGATCAGGTACACGTTTTGTTGTGATATGTTGCCAGGGAGAATTCAGACCATAACATGTTCAATTTCGGGCACATTGAGACTGCGCACTGTGCAGGCAATCTTGTTAGCGACCAGGGTGGCGGTACCGCGTCCTCCCGAGGGGCGGGCAACCACTGGTATCCGGAAAACGTGGCGGTTGGTACTACAGTCTCTTGTAATATCATGATGTGACGATTGGCTTTGTGGCTACGGAGGTATTGCTGCAGGAAGGCTTTCTTGGGGGCGAAACTCCTGCAGTTACATTGCCAGATTCGCAACTCGTCATTTGGCCTGGCCATCTTGAAGCATGTAGTAGTCGGCCTGAGCACCTGGTGAGTGCATACGGGCCACGTGAAGTGGTGGACTGGGCACGGCTGCACGTTGCGACAACGGCTTACCCGCGGCAACAGCAGGGGCAAACGAGATATTGCTCCACTTTGCCTAACCGATTACCGTGGGCCGCGAAGGTAGACTGCAGGAGAGCCATGCTTTCGCCAAGAAAGCGAAGGCTTTCCTTAATCGCCGATAGCGTGCTCTTAATGTCGTCTAACTCTGCCTTTAAAGCTGGCTGGTTGCGGGCGACCGTGCTTTTTGTAGGTGCGCTCTCGCGGTCGTCGTTATCGGCGCTTAAGGGTTGCGGCTGCAACGGGGTGACTGCATTGTCGTCGTTGTCGGTGTTGGGCTTAGCAGCGTGCGTTTCTGTCAGTTTTCAGTTAGGCAATTGCGACTGTGAGTTTGCGTAGTATTTCTTTCAGCATCGCATTTTCGTGCTTTGAGATCGCTATCTCAGATGTGGTGTGTGTATCATGCTCTGAGAGTGAACCCGACCTTACCTGTGATGTAGTGTTTCCTTTTCCCCGGACGGCGTCCACCCAAGTGAGAGTTCCCCGCTTATTCTTTGGCGTTGCCGGCGAAGGTGGTGCCGATGGGCTCGGCAATCGTTGACGCGAGACCCCGGTGAGACTGGAACCGGCGTGAGGCCCGTAATCAGATTGGGAGCCGGAGCGTGACCCGTAGCGTGGCCCGGGCCGGGAACCTGTACGGGAACCATGACGTGAACTGGAATGGAACATGGAGTAGCCTCGCGATATAGATCTTGTTGGGGTCCTACTTCGCGCGCTGCGGGAATGGGTCCGACGGTGGCTCCGAGACCTCGATGCACGCATGGTGCGGTTCGTAGGACGACTCCGGGACCGGGAGCGGGATAGGGACCGGGATCGGCTGCCATCGGATCGACCGTCTGTAGAAAGCTTCAAGGCTTTGTCGTCGTCAACAGCTGCGTTGAACTCGTTCATTGCTTCGTGACTGTTGTGTTCCGTCGAGTTTGTGCTCCCATCGTCGTCGGCGCACCACGTATGCAATGTGGTAGCGTTCTTCACATTCCTTGTCGGCAGTGAGGTGAGCTCCTCCGCAAAGCGGGTATTTTGGTGTACAGCGGTGTTCTTTTTCGTGGTTAGGCACGCTGCAGCTTCTGCAGATAACTTCCAGGATTCGGGCACACGTCCGCTCGATGGCCGGGCCGACTGCGGGCGTAGCAAATATCCATCTGTCTACGGTATAGTGAACATTGAAGTAGCACCGATCCGTATCGCAAAACAATTGGGCACGCGATATCCATCGAAGGCCACAATCACTGCGGTGGTACTTCCGATGCGCTTGGCAGCCAAAGCTAGTGGATTGCGGTCGTTGACAATTTACGCATCTATGTCCACCAAATCGTCTTGCACGGGAAACCCTCAAATGACGCCTTTGCATGTAGAATGTGGTGCCGCTTCGTAGGCATTAACTTCATAGATCTTGTCAGAAATGCGGATTCCTTTAACGCGCACGTAGCGATTAGCATTTTCTCTCGTCGGCGTGCTTGCTACCAAGCTATTCTGTTTAATGTTGGGGCAGAGCGTGTCTGCTTGCTGTTCCAATGGGCTGATACCTGCCAAAATCGAAATTGCTTCAGCGATTGTCGTTGGGCCAACCCTAGCAGTGCTTAGACCCCCTCTGGGTCTAATGATAATGCGGATGTCGTTCTTTGATAGTTGAGGCATTCGGCTTGCTCAAATAATTTTGTTCTTCACATTTTCTGTGTTGCGGGGCTTGTGCTCATTGCGTTTCGAAGCGCTCTAATATGGTGCACGTTTGGAGCCTTCATTTAGGGATCGGCGACACGGGGCGGTCTGCCAGCTTTGGTCTCGTGTGATTTGCTTCGGGTCAATATCTTCCCCTGTCACTTGGTACTCCATCGCTCAGCGAGACAGCGCAGCTACGGAGCACGCGAGCGAGTTCGCGCACGTTAGAGGGAAGAAGACACTTGTCAGGGCTAGCTGTCGGCGGGCGAGCGACGATGGCGGAGGCGAAATAGAATTCAAGAAACAAGCACTCACTGCGCCAAAATTGTGTCGGCAGAGTCCTTGTGTCTTCTGGAAATCGTCGCACTAATATAACATTGAAATCGCAAAGTAGCGTCGCGAAAACGTTGAATAAAGCAGGAGCCGTAGTAGAAGCGTTCACACACTTCAGATTCTTCTTCCTTCTTCGACGTCAACAAATGTAACAAAAAATACACTGCACCGAACCGCAGCTGCACGCTGAACACGCTGCATGCTGAACAGGACAATCTTCAACCCACCTTACTATCAAGCGAGCATAAGCTCACTAGCTTGCTTGTTTTGGCAGCACATAAGCGTACGATCCAAGGTGGTGCTGAAGCAACCCTCACTGAGCTTCAAGAGCATTTATGGTTATTGAGAGGGCGTCGAACCGTGAAGAGGTTCATTTTTGAATGTAGAATGTGCAAATGCTGTAAAACTACAGTGGAGACAGCACCCATGGCCTAACTTTTTCGCGAAAGAATTACGGCGATGAGCCTCTTTATGGTCGTTGGGCTTGATTACAGCGGGCAGCTGTACGCGAAGTCAGCAAGTGGTCCAAGAAGAACTTGCATACTTTTATTTTCGTGCGCCGTCACACGCGCCAATCACCTTGAGCTAACATCAGACATGACGACCACCACAACTTTAATCGCGCCGCGCCGCAGTGGTCTAGTGGCTAAGGTACTCGGCTGCTGACCCCCAGGTCGCGGGAAGGAATCCCGGCTGTGGCGGCTGCATTTCTGATGGAGGTGGAAATGTTGTAGGCCAATGTGCTCAGATTTGGGTGCACGTTAAAGAACCCCAGGTGGTCGAAATTTCCGGAGCCCTCCACTACGGCGTCTCTCATAATCACATGGTGGTTTTGGGACGTTAAACCCCTCATATCTATCAATCAGTCAATCAACTTTAATCGCCTTTCGTCATTTCGTCGCACAGCACGGTGTACTCTGACAACGCCCAGGCGTTTCGGAGTTATGCTAGATGGTTTGCATCTGCGCTAACTGCTCTTGGCGAGTACATCGCGGAGATCAGAATACAATGAAAGTTTATCGCAGAACGCGCTTCGTGGTGGGGTGATTGGTGGAAGTACCTGATTCGTACGACAAAAGTCACGCTCAAGAAGTCAATCACACGCAGTTGTCTCAACGTGGAAGGCCTGACTCATATCTCTACACATGTGTATATCGCGCGTAGTAAACCAGCGAGGCTCGGCAGCAATAACCTTCTACACGCGGATAGAGTCGCTCCCCATTGAGCGCCTTGACCCACCTTCCGCGAGCGCCATCTGTCGCATCAAACGCAAACAACCCTGGTGGCGAACACAATCTGGACGCGGCGCCGAGGGCAGTGTCATCACCTAATTCCTACACCAGGACGGTGCCTAACACGACCTTTGTTGGTATCTCATAACAACTTTTGCTGTAAAAGAGGTGATCTTTGGATGCGCAAGGACCTGCTATCCCAAAACAAATTACCATCGTAAGAAATCTGCGATATATCTTTATTGACGCTTTATGCGAGATATTGAGTAATATATATTAATAATGGCAAGGCATGCATGAAACCTATATCTTTCATTGCAAAATTGGAGGGAGCGAATAGTGAGATCAACATATCGCCAATGATCTAATACTATCATTTTAAGCAGTTGCGTAATTCAGTCTTTTTTTCGGCAGGTGGTTCCAGGGCTTTGACTGGGACGGATTACAAGCACGAACACTCCAGCCTCCTTTTGAACCCCAGGTATCACCTTTCATTGTATCTGTTAGACATCTTGGCCCGCATTCAGAAAGCTTCTCGTTCGCTATTTCAGCCATTGAACGTCACTTTCAACTAAATATGGGTTAAAAACCAAAAATTGGTGAAATGTTTTCTTAGAAAAAATGTTTTAGTGCAAAATGTTTTTTTTGTTTTTTTTGTAATCAAGAAATGGTCCTTATTAATACATACCTGCGTTGATGTCTCCCCATTCAAGGCTTTGAACTGTACCACGCGAAGCCCGACTTCTGCGGTGGCATTTCCGTGTGTAATAATAATAATAATAATAATAATACTACTACTAATAATAATAATAATAATAATAATAATAATAATAATATATATTATATTAGTAGTAGTAGTATGAGCAGTAGTAGTAGTAGTACTAACACGCAATTCAGAAGGCATTCAGCATTGATAACAACTGCGTGCGACACAAAGCGCGCATGCCGGAGGCGAAGTACCTGCTCTTCGAAAGTGTCACTAACTAGCTCTGGGCAGAACCTATGAACGCAAAGAATTGTACGGGCAGAACTTCGCAATACTCCTTTCTACAATCTTCGAGGGTGCCTAGTGATGGCGGAGCAAAAGCTTATGGGCACGCGGCTCGCATTTTCACTACACACGTTTGTCGTGCAAGGAAAGTTTAATGACGAAAAAGCGAAGGCTTCTGTTACGTGGTAACTACAGAGTTAAAACTAATGGCGATGAGCCGTGAAGAAAAATAGTGAGTGCGGTAATAGCTAGCGTCTCGGAAAGAGCCAGACAAGTGATGATGAAAAATTGTAAAATCATCTACAAACTGGAAGGACTTAATGATGCTAAAGTGAAAAAGGTAACCACGAAAGTTTCTGCACATTAAAGCAGTTTACATCGTTAAAGGGGTTTTACTGGTGCTATAGCTAGCATCCTTACACCTTAGGAAAAATGTTTTATCATGAATCAAAACGGCGATATCCCGTTGGGTGTCGCCCCTGGCATAAAACCCTTATCATGAGGTGTACCCAATGACCTAAACACTTGTATCGCCCATAAACCTTGAAAAAAGTTTACTACTTAGAGAACGTGCAATTACAGATTACATCAGTCTAAAAGGTGCACATACGCACTCAACCACAAACAGAGCTTAGCTTATTTTAAAATACCCCTTGAAAGGGGTGCTCACGCTGCACAGCCCTACACCAACCATGTGGTATATGCAGCTTTCGTATCCGAAGTGGCTGTTTGGTGCCAGTGGGGATATTCCTGTTCCGTCTAAATCAACATTGAACATTAACAGAACAGATGTAAAGTTACGGCGTGCTTGGAGATTGCCCTAAAAGGACAGATACTTCCATCTAAACTTAATTTATATTCAATTATATTTTATTCACCATGTCCCCAGTTTACTTCTGGCACATTGTGCTATGCGCCACCTGTTTTTAGATAACCCATAAACGCCTTAGTTCCTGAAAAATGTGCTATGTCAAATATTCCCCCTTAAAGCCTATATGGTGGTAGCAAACAAGTTTACACAGTCATATTTGCAAATTCTGAATAGGCAAACAAATGTTTCGCTTGATTCTATTCTTTTTAGGAGTTCGAACGGGTCTACATTGTGTTCCGTCAAGCTTTTAGTTGATTGTATAAAATGGTTGTCAAGCCTCTTCTTTGCGTTTCTTTACTGCACATTTGACCTTTCTCATTTCAAAGATATTTGCTGAAACGTCTTACCTATGAACGCACTCTACCGCTACTTTATGGGATGCCTCTAAAGGCCGTTAGGATAAATAAATAAATAAATCACATAATTTAAGTGCGACGAAAGCACAGCGTACAGATATCAAAATAAATTGATTGATTGCTTGTAGATACGACCTAGCACTTTTGGTCCAGCAGCTATGTCGCAAAACTAGTCGTAACCGATGGCTGGAACTATTTCTTTGAGCGTGAATTTTTTATCTTAATTTTTTCAACGAAGATCACTGTGTGTCTTAGTTGGACCCTTGCCCTTTGCCTTCTCATCTGTGCCTCATCTCTGCTTCGTACAATCATTGTTAAACGTACAGTTTTATTCATCACCAACATGCGAGTGCTGCAGTTAATGAGATATATTGTTTGAATGCCAGTGATCGTGGCGTCATAATTAGAAGCACAATGACCGAGAGCGGAAGAAGTGCACTAGATCACTGAATTAAAAACACCGCTGTCCCTTGAGTATAGCGGATACGCTTGGCATTCGGTCGTTGTTTCCTTGCGATAGCAGTGCCGTCACAGTGAGTACTCTCAGTACAAATGTGAAGTGCGCCTGTATACGTGCAGTATGAGGACTCACGAAACATCATACCTTGCGGCAATATTGTGGCGCAATCCTTGCGTACGTTGCGTATGGTAGACGTTGCGTACGGTAGCTTTGCAGTAGCATTTGCCTCTGTGCCTTCTTGGTGGACTTCTTCCGTCACGAGCTTACCGTTTAGAATGGTAAAGTTGCGGCCCCCATTATGATAATATTTCACCATCACTTGCATGAAAGCTCTGAGTGAGTATAAAGAGAGGGAGGCTGGCCAGAATATAGAACAAGGTTTATAACCGGCGTGCGGCTTTATGCAATGGGTGGTGGAGAGAAAAGATGGGACGAGAGAATATATGTTTGATGACGCCATGCGCGTTCCAAGAGTCTTTCGATCAACTAATCATTGTTTGAAGGCGTTCTTTAGTGGAATGTCTAAAATCTCTAGTGAAGTATCTGTAGGAGGATGCGCGGTGATCGATTGTCTAAGCTGTCTGTATTTAGGATATACCAAAAAATGACTGAATTTTGGGCCAGTGTCACAGCAAGCATTGCCCTTTGTGGTAGCTGATCAGGTAGGATAATTGGCAATGCTAAGCACGAAGACAAGCAGTGGATTCTCAGCCACGGCGGCGTCGTTTTCTTAGAAGCAAAATAAAGAAGCGCTCGCTTATTCATACAGTACGAATTCTGGTACTATATCTCCGGAGTCTCCAACTACGACTTATGTTGTTGTCACTGTGTGGTTCTGACACGCGATACCGATGAACATTGCTAAAAGGACAAATAAACAATACCGTGGCCGAATTTTCGTAGTGCAAGTAAAGGCAGAGCCAGACGCTGTCAAAATATTCCCGCAAGAATTTTGTGAATGAGGGGCGCCTAATAATTTTGTTACAGGGGATGAAAAAATATTTGGACTGTTTGCTGTTTCTCGCACGGGCACATGAACGTACTCCGTGCCATAAGGGGTAGGCGTAGCCAATTCTTGTGAGCACGTCCACATCGGCAACGTAATACAAGATCAGCAATTGCGCAATCAGCACGGCCAACAACTGCACGAGGCTCCCTCCACGTGTCACTTCTGTCATAGTGGGGAAATGGCGGAGTGTAGTGCTAGGAATGCGAAGCATTGGCAACGTGAACAAATAGGCGACACGTGCGACAACTTGGCGGTAATGAACGCATCAATGGAGGTCCAAGTCATCGTTTTTCGGGCCACTGGACAAGTCTATGAAAACGCTTTTCATGGGCAACATTACATCTCCACGTGGGTGACGAAAAGTGGATGGCCGCTCTTGAGATGGGCACAGGAATCGTCTTTTTTTTTAAATAGAGCATGTGCGCGTTACGCTGCGCTATGATATCCCCAAAGTATGATCATCGCGCCTCTGAACGAATCAGTGAGCTGATTTAGTCAGCCTAAAAACAATTACAATCGCTTTACCTGTTCTCTTTTTCCTAGAAAGTAGGCAGGCATTCAACCCCTTTCGGTGGTATCAGACAAGCTGATCCTTCTTTGTTTTCTCTGAGCTAATTTATTTTTGCTGGAACAAGTGCTTTAAATATAAAATAGCCTAGTAATAATCGGCAGCTTCAAGATATATTGTCATGACCTGGTGTTCTATTTTGCTTTTCTTTTCTTTCAGATCCGAGGACCTGCAGACAGCTCAAACTTTGATGTTTACCCCCGAAACTTTGAAATACCGCCAGATGAAACCTCCGGATGGGACGAGGACTTTTAATGAAAAACATTTCTTCTACACCTCTTCTGAGTGCCCCTAAAAGCCCAGTGCAAACAGAAGTGTTTCTTCAGACGTGCCAAGTAATGCATCTCCCGGAATCTTTGCGCCGTTGAGCAAGCGTTAGCATTAAGTAATACGACTGTAAGAAAGAGAAGCCAACCTTATCAAGTTGCGGCACTTGCGTATACTAGGTGTCGTTTATTTATTTTTTAATTGTTATGCGTTGTTTCAGAGTACAACAAAGTTGTGCCTAGAGTGAATGCGCATGCTTCCTTGAGGAAGACTTAGTGGTACTTGAAGACAAAGGCGATTTCAAGCAATTTACAAAAGAGTATGATTGACTCGGGACCCAAAGAAATACCATATCTATTTGAGTGCCACGCATTAGGCACTGTTGAAAGACAGCATGAGGAAACCTACTTATAGCTGTTCTTTTTGCCTTGGCATCTGCGCTGAATGCGAAAGCTGAGTTTCTTACAAGGTATTCCGCAGCAAAAGTAAGCTGATGGCTCTCTGTTGACACACCTTGATGTCCGGCTTTTTTGCTCAATATCACACACACGCACCAAGACGTTTAGATGTAGCTATGATGAGACTGCTTTTTCTTCTTTTTTACGCACCTGTGTTCCAATATATGTACAAACATTCTCAGTGTCATCGAGTTCTATCACTGTCATGTGATGAGGAGTTCTGTATGTGACGTGGCATTGCATGTGTTCCACCTTCACAACCACTTCCACTGTCGTTTAGCCGAACGACTCTTCAAATCAATCAACTAATCTGAACACAGCCGCCGCGGAATTCCGCTGTGGGATTTTAGCACGTAATAATAAGAGTGGTATTATAGGTTGTTGCACTGACTTTAATACTTCACGCAGGGAGAATTCAGGATTACAAGAACAATGTGTTCCAGCGAAAATTGGCAAGTTCTGTCTTGTTCTACGTTTAGGAAAAAGTGGGGTGGTTCTAAAATGTTGCCGAGAACTATTAAGGCATTCTTTCTATACCTAAGATGTTAGACATACTTAAAATGAAAAGGTTCTGCAAAATAAACACATGTTCTCATGAAAAGCTACGGAGACAAATGCAAATACACTGTTTATTGATGAGTGGGACAAGTGCATAAATAATGAACAGTAACACCAATATTACATGCCCATAAACGAAGAATGGAACATGAGATAAAGTACGTATGCGCAACCAGACACATCTTTTCTCCACTGTTCCGGCAGGTAGAAGGATTGCTAAGACAAGCACTCTCCTTCAGCTCTCAAGCAAAAAAGCTTGGAGAACCAACCATGTCCAATAAAACTTGTTCTCGGGCTTGTTGGTTATTCGTCATATTGGAGCGTAATTTGCACAACTCTGACTCTCGCAAACACTGATACAATCACTCACTTATGGACACCAGAAACACACATTGAGCGGTGAGTGTCGTGTGTGTTCATCGAGTATGTTGAGAGACTGATGGTACAAATGTTTGGGGTAGTCAAAGTTGCGCTAATCATTTTACAATATAACCGACCATGCATTCACTTCACATTCCCGCATCTTCGGGTAATCTTTATCCTGTCCGATTCAAGGTCACACGTGCACGTATTGAAATACTCGGCTGAATTAGCTTTTTTTTTCCTTTTTTGTTGTATTTTACGTATTCTGTCTCCCTCTATCATTTTTCAGCGTCGCATTTGGCTATGTACACATTTGCTCTTGTAGGCGCAATATCGTAGACCTCTAAGATATTACCTATGGTTTAAGGTGCTAGTATCCCAATATTATCATGCTGCACACCGTGGTAGAAGGGCCCGGAAGTTAGGACCACCCGTTGCTGTTTACCGTGCACTCACATTGCACGATACTTAGGCGTCAAGCATTTCGCCTTCATCGAAATGTGACTACCACGATTGTAATCAAACCCGCAACCTTCGGTTAAGCAGTCGAGCATCGTAACGGGTACACAATCGCGTCACACTTGTATACCGCTCCGACGGCGCATCTGACGAAGGGCCTCACTTGCCTTCTCTCCCCAGGTGCTGTTTTCCTACTAAGACAGAAGCACAGAAGGAAACGGCTTTTTTGGGGCCAAAACAACTGGAACTCCATATTTCCAAGCGACTTTCTTGATGGAGTGCGATGCACGGTGAACATGAGTCAAAACTCAAGGCCGTGTTTTACGCTGAGCTCAGTTGGTTCCTGGAGCTTTTTTCTATGCCCTTAAGCTTTTGTAAAAGAGTCGGAACCAATGCGACAGTGACCGCGTGAGGGCATCTATTTCTGCTAGTCTGTTCACCTGCGCAGAACTGTCGTGTATCTTGTGATTACCCGACTTTTTTTAGAGCATTCAGACCACGTTTTAACAGTAGCATGTCTCACTAATCCAGAATAGGCTGATTTAAATGGGAGCAAACTATCTCTTTCTATAGGTTCGTACCGCCACCAAACATGATAAGCACCATACAAAAAGCTGCATCCCGCGACAAAAGGCACGAGAGGCATCTCGTAAAATGCACAGGCGGAGAGGTATGTGAATTTCCACTTAGCTGAGGAAAGGTTTACTTAGGCCAATAAAGATGCCTGTATAAATGACAGAACGAGGAAGCATCCACAATGTGCAAGAAAAAAAAACTAATGCATCCAAAATTTGTAATACCTGCACATGTGATCTTAGATTGGATGAGATCACCATTATTGTTTGGAAGAATAGAAATATCAACACACAGTAGGTTCTCGCAGCTTTTGATATATCGCAGAAGGCGACCTCTTGTGTTAGTGATTTTTCTATGAATTTGGACAGCGGTAAATAGAAAGGGTTTGCAGCTTAGTGAGTATATTTCTCGTATCCTATTTATTGTTTATGCACATGCAAATTTGGTGCCTTTTTTCAATTAGTTCAGTGGTTGCCACCTAGAAAACAACAGTGTGAGTTTGCGCTTTTCCACGTAACGTGTTACGTAGACGTGTCATTTTTTCCGCTACGTTTTAGTTTGTAATATGTCACTAAGCACATCAGAGTGTGTGAATTCTTCCAAGTTAATCCCAGTTCAACATGGTCGTATTCATATACATGACGGGTAACAGTTTTATATTGGCCAACTTCTCGATTTAGCGCTCCATCCTTAATAAACAGAGCTACAATGAGCACTTTCCAGTTTGATCGCGTGAGGCAACGTGTTCGCGTTGTAGCTACATTTGTTGTCTTTGCTCGTGTACTAGCAGCATTCGGACTTAAAACTAAGGTGACCAGATTGATTTGTTTAATCTGGAGCCCTCGTCATAGTAGGATGAGCATATATATCACAATGGAGCTGGTGAACGCAACTTCTACTTGTTATCAATATTATCATACCTTAACTGCCATGCCACGATGTGTGCTCGATGCCAGAATGAAGTGTTTCGGCAGCATGAAAACTTCTGCACAAAACATTTGTCTGCTGTAGGTGTGCTTGCACTTACAAACTTTATCTTTTTGTTGGTGTCCTTGTGCACAAGCTTCTCTTCTTTACTCGACCACAAGAACAGCAAGAGCACGAGATACACCTCACTAGCACTACTATAAGAAATCATGTGGGTGTAGGACGATGGTTGTACCGTTTGAAGTTGTATTGTGTGTAATTTTTTTTTCAGGGATGGTTTCGTTTGCACAAATAAACTGAAAATATGTGTCGAATTGCCTGTCATAAACTTCAAACTTCAATGACCTAAGGAGTCGGCTTGAAGGCACACTTTGCCGGGTTAACTGCATGATGCCGCTGCAATTGCCATTGTATGTTGCCAGTACCAACATGTGGGAGCTAGACTCACAGTATAACAAAAGAAAACACGCGTAAAGCTGGCGATGACGCATCGTGTAAGGAAGCTAAATATGACAGGTGTGAAATTAGAAGATCAATAGACAGACTTAATCAGATAACAAAGCTAGTTAGCCCATAATATAGTTGACATTATGCTAAAGAGTTTCACCTAGGCCGGCTATGCATTTCAAAGGACAGACAATGGTAGACGGTTGTTAGAACAGCGTAATAGTTATAAGTGACAGGAAATGCAGCTCAGGACAGCAGTGAGTTTTATATATTTACAAAACTCAGAAGTTCGCAGGCATAGAGGGCAATCAAGTCGCACGAGTCGTGGTCAACCGCAGATTATTGGGCGTGCTCTTCAACTTTCTGTAAAGATACAAACTAGGCTGAGAGTTGTGATAACACACAAGTACAAAACATCGACGACTAACGTACCCTAGAACATTTTACATCATTTCTTCAAGTGAATGCAGCAAAAGGGAGCTCAAAACGGAGTGCGTCCTGACGTCTATATAAAGTTGGTATTATCCAACACGCAGTACTACACGTTCGCTACTTTGCTCCCATGGCACATAAACTTTGCCTTTGTCACCTTCCTTTTTTTGCCCTTTTTTGCAGCCAAGGATATCAGCTGCCCTTCAAGAAGCGCGGATCTGAAGCGGGCGACAGTTTTAAGGGCCCCTAAACCATTTTTAAAGGGCCCCTAAACCACCCCAAAAATACGAAAGAAAATCGCGTTATTCTCTCTGAGCGATTACAGTCTTTCCGGCACAATTCATGAGGCCAGTTCGTTCCCGTGACGTCAGGGGGAAAGAAGCTCATGGTCGGTCGACATACGAGAGGTATCTGCTCTAAATAGGTGACCGGTAATGCGGGCAATCACAGGAAACTATGGGATACGACGGCCTCCGGTTCAACGCCCCCAACGGGTTAGCAGCAGCACGCCCGCATTTCGTACCACTCCGTTGAAAAAAGCACCTCTCCGTGCAGTGCCAGTGCTAAAGAATTGGTTTTTTTGTTTCTACTTACCATGACTGTGACGATGACAAGCTACGAAAGCCTTGAACGGTAAGGAAACTTTTTTTTATCGCACTAAAACGATATGCGATGTTTTTTTGTACTGCTCGGGGGTACTGTCAGTTTGGCTGGCAGATCAATCGATACAGAAAGCAGTTTTCATTGTATGATACGTTACTACAGGTAAAAATCACCATTTTAAAGATCTCACGGGATGGGGATGACTGTAGCAGTGTGCTAAGAGTTCATTTCGGGATCGCTG